AAAATGGGGAAAATGGGGAAAATGGGAAAAATGGGAATATATGGGGAAAATGGGGAGAAAAACGGGAAAAATGGGGAAAATGGGGAAAAAAAGGGGGAAAATGGGGGGAAAAACGGGAAAAATGGGAAAAATGGGAAAAATGGGGAAAATGGGGAGAAAAACGGGAAAAATGGGAAAAATGGGAAAATGGGAAAAATGGGGAGAAATGGGGAAAATGGGAAAAATGGGAAAAATGGGAAAAAAATGGGGAAAAAATGGGAAAAATGGGGAGAAAAATGGGAAAAATGGGAAAAATGGGGAAATGGGGAAAAATGGGGAGAAATGGGGAAAATGGGAAAAATGGGGAAAATGGGGAAAAAATGGGGAAAAATGGGGAAAATGGGGAGAAAAACGGGAAAAATGGGAAAAATGGGAAAATGGGGAAAAATGGGAATAAATGGGAAAAATGGGGAAAATGGGGAGAAATGGGGAGAAAAACGGGGAAAATGGGAAAAATGGGGAAAATGGGAAAAATGGGAGAAAATGGGGAAAAATTGAGAAAAAATGGGGAAAAAAAATGGGGAGAAAAACGGGAAAAATGGGAAAAATGGGGAAAATGGGGAAAATGGGGAAAACGGGGAAAAAATGGGGAAAATGAGAAAAATGGGGAGAAAAATGGGGAAAATGGGGAAAATGGGGAGAAAAATGGGGAAAATGGGGAGAAAAATGAGAATATATTGGGAAAAAATGGGGAGAAAATGAGAATATATGGGGAGAAAAATGGGAATATATGGGGAAAAATGGGAAAAATGGGAAAATTGGGGAAAAATGGGGAAAAAAATGGGAAAAATGGGAAAAAAATGGGAATATATGGGGAAAAATTGGGGAGAAAATGAGAATATATGGGGAGAAAAATGGGGAAAATGGGAAAAATGGGGAGAAAAATGGGGAAAATGGGGAAAAATGAGAATATATGGGGAAAATGGGGAAAAAAATGGGGAAAATGGGAAAAATGGGAAAAATGGGAAAAATGGGAAAAATGGGGAAAATAGGAAAAATGGGGAAAAAAATGAAAATAAATGGGGAGAAAAATGGGGAAAATAACGGGAAAAATGAGGGAAAAATCAGGAAAAAATGGGAATAAATGGAATTTAGGGGGGAAAAATGGGGATTTGGGGGGGAAATGTGGAAAAAATGGGAAAAACGGGAAAAAATGGGGATAAATGGGGAAAAATGGGAAAAAATGGGAATAAATGGGGAAAAATGGGGAGAAAAATGGGAAAATGGAAAAAATGGGGAAAAAATGGGGAAAAATGGGAAAAAAAATGGGAATAAATGGGAAAAATGGGGATAAATGGGGAAAACATGGGGGAAAGTGGGGAAAAATGGGGGAAAAACGGGGAAAAATGGGGAAAATGGGGGAAAAATGGGAATATATGGGGAAAAAAATGGGGAAAAAATCACGAAAAAATGGGAAAATTGGGAAAAACGAGAAAAAAATAGGAATAAATAGGAAAAAATGGGAATAAATGGGGGAAAATGGGGAGAAATGGGAATAAATGGGAAAAAATGGGAAAAAAAGGGAAAATTGGGGAAAAATGGGAAAATTGGGGAAAAATGGGAAAAATGGGGAAAAATGGGGGAAAAATGGAATTTGGGGGGGAAAATGGGGAAAAAATGGGAATAATGGAATTTAGGGGGGAAAATTGGGGATTTGGGGAGGGGTCTCTGTCCCACCTGAGGCACTTTGGGAAATTTTGGGTTTACTTTGGATTATTTTGGGTTATTTTGGGTTATTTTGGGTTATTTTGGGTTATTTTGGGTTTATTTTGGGTTATTTTGGGTTTATTTTGGGTTATTTTGGGTTATTTTAATGGGATTTTCACGGGGTTTTTTTTTGTTTTTTTGGCTTTTTTTTGTATTTTTGGGATATTTTGGGGAGGGGTCTCTCTCACCTGAGAGCAGCACGGTGCCCTTGGGGAATATTCTGGAATTATTTCGGATTATTTTGGATTATTTTCGGATTATTTTGGGTTATTTTAACGGGATCTTCGCGGGGTTTTTTTTGATTTTTGGATTTTTTTTCTATTTTTGGGATATTTTGGGGAGGGGTCTCTCTCACCTGAGAGCAGCACGGTGCCCTTGGGGAATATTCTGGAATTATTTCGGGTTATTTTGGGTTATTTTGGGTTATTTTAACGGGATTTTCACGGGGTTTTTTTTGATTTTTTGCATTTTTTTTGTATTTTGGGGATATTTTGGGGAGGGGTCTCAGTTACCTGACAGGAGCACGGTGCCCTTGGGGAACATTCTGGAATTATTTCGGATTATTTCAGGTTATTTTGGGTTATTTTGGGTTATTTTAATGGGATTTTCGCGGGGTTTTTTTTGTTTTTTTGGCTTTTTTTTGTATTTTTTGGATATTTTGGGGAGGGGTCTCACCTGACAGGAGCACGGTGCCCTTGCCCTTGGGGGAGGCCATGGCCAGTTGGTCAAAGGTGAGGATGGAGCCCCCGGCCCTGAGGATTCGGCTCCGAGCGCCCCGAGTCACCCTCAGGGCACACACCTGGAAATAAATAAAAATTAAATTAAAATTTAAATAAAAAACACCCAAAAATATCCTAAAAATATCCTAAAAATGACCTGAAATCACCCTCAGGGCACACACCTGGGAATAAATAAAAATTAAATTAAAATTATAATAAAATATCCTAAAAATATCCTGAAATCACCCTCAGGGCACACACCTGGAATTAAATAAAAATTAAATTAAAATTTAAATAAAAAACACCCAAAAATATCCTAAAAATAGCCTGAAATCACCCTCAGGGCACACACCTGGAAATAAATAAAAATTAAATTAAAATTAAATTAAAATATCCTAAAAATATCCTAAAAATGACCTGAAATCACCCTCAGGGCACACACCTGGAAATATATAAAAATAAATAAAAATTTAAATAAAAAACACCCA